AATCTTGATTTTTGACAGAATATTTTATAATTATCCTTTTTGATATTATAATTATAATATTAGTGTTACTTGAATTGAATGGTATGCGCCCGGCTGTGATAGAAAGAAACCAGTTCTAGGAGCTTCTCTCTCTAGGGTTTCTGACTACTGTTCCTGAGGTTCTACCTTCAGGTTTTTCCCCTTCATTTCTCCTTTTCACCATCTCTTTGGACATCTGTTAGTTCACGGCGAGTGTGATAGTTTGATTTGGTTCTCTGGCTTACCTTTTATGTTAATGGTGTTATGGTGGTGTATTAATATCTCACCTACCACTCCGACTTAACCCGTTGACTGCCTATTTAAGCACTACTAAGCTTTGTGGAGAATGGTTAACAAGCAACCTGAAACTAGCGATTCAACAGGGGAACATGACACTCCAGTTCTCCACCTCACCACTAACGAACCCGATTATAGTGAGCTCCACCGATTTTCATTTGCTGGACAGTTACTCGCGGAGGACAGTGATATCCGTAGCGGGTTAGTCTATGGCATTTTAAAGAGTGCCTGGAGACCGAAAGGAGGACTTGAAGTGCACGAACAATCTAAGAACACTTTTATATTTATCCTCTCGGATGAAACAGAGAAAAACAAAATCTTTCGAGAGTCTCCTTGGTTTGTTAAAGGATCCCATCTTGTCATCAAAGACTGGCCATCTTCCCAGCGTTTTGATGAGATTTCCTTCTCTCACTCCAAATTTTGGGTGCAAGTGCATGGCCTCCCAAAGGGATGTATGACTCTGGAGAATGTCCAGCGAATTGGGTCCTTATTTCCCCGTTTAATCTCATGGGACCAATCTACCCTAAGAGGTCTGGAAAGTTTCTTACGCCTAAGGGTTGAGATTGATGTTCATACACCTCTTCTCACCGGGTTTCAATTTCAACAGCAGGGGGATCAAGTCTAGACTGCAGCCTTCAAATATGAAAAGCTTGTTGATTTTTGCTATAGATGTGGGATGTTGGGCCATATACAAAAGTCCTGTGATGACTTTAGATGGAAGGATGATGACAGCAACTACATCTCTCAACCCAGACCACAATATGGACCACAGTTGAGGACAGTAGCCTACTCACCCAAAAAGCATTTTGGTTCCATCCAAGAAGGGGCCAAATCTCAACCAATTTATCATGCAAAACTATTACCAAAAGCACTAGACAAACTGGAAACTAGATCATCGTCCAACCCCACAATTTCAACACAACAGAGAACGGCCATCAATGAAGAAGACCACTCAACGATGAGACGTGAAGAACAACAAGAAGAAGAGCGCGTGAACCACGCTCCTGCCCTGTTATCCCCAGCATTAAATGCCTTTGAAGGGCAGTCACCGAGTGATATGATTACCTCTTCTGATTTAAGTGCAGAACCTCCACCACCCTCAGGTGCCACGCAACTGAATAGGCTGCTTCTATTAAATGAGGTGATGACAACACCACAATGCTTTGGTTCAAGAAAGCTTCCAGATTCTCCTAGCGGCATCCAAGAACAAGCCACAGCTCAGGGAGGGTTTTACAACAGTGCCGAATTGGGCTTATTACTTTCCCATAAAGTTGAAGCCCAATTATCTTTGGGTAATAAGCCCTATCTTGGGAAAAGACGGAGATGTGATACGGAGCCTTCAGGAGAACCTGTGAAACAAGCTTGCATATTACCTCATGAGGCAATTGGGCAGCCTTGTTCTTCAGCCCAATTACAAGAATCCCTAGCCTTGGGAAGATCCGAGTTCCACAAGTAAGACCAACATGGTGTATTTACAGATATAGTAGAATCTGTTTCAGTACACCGGGTGCGACGTAGAATTCAGCTCAGGGCATTGGCTCGCCAAGTTAAATTCCACCCCGATCCTCGCTTCTCGCTGGGTCACCCATATCACCCAACTCAACGACCCTATAATGAACCCCCTTTCATCCCTACGGTCTCTGTTACAACTCCCGCTCCAGGTAATATCTCTACATATTTTTCCAATACTCCATTTAAAGAAACCGAGCAACTCTCTAATGACATGGTTGAGGAGACATCGGTGGCTAGCCTATGGCTGCCACCCCCACCGACATGAAGCTCTTTTCTTGGAATTGTCAGGGCCTTGGGCAAGCTCTGACGCGAAGGGCACTTAATGATATCATTTTTAAACATCGCCCTTGCTTGGTTTTTTTTATGGAGACCAAACAAAAAACGAATTACTTGGAGCGGCTGAAAAGAAAGTTCAGATATTCCAACAGCATCTACGTTGAACCACATGGCTATTCGGGGGGTTTAGCTTTGTGGTGGACTGATGAGGTTCATATCTCAATCTTTTATTCTGATAAAAATATGCTTGATGGCTGTTGCTCAAATGCTGATTATTCTATCTCTTGGCATTTTTCTTTTGTTTATGGCGAGCCTAATGTACAACTACGGCAACCTATGTGGAGTAGAATGCTGAATCTCCGACGCCCTCCCTTTATCCCATGGCTAATAATGGGTGACTTAAATCTAGTAAGGGAGTGTAGTGATAAGAAGGGCAAACGGCCTTCATTGGCCATCGATAGAAGAATATATAAAGAACTGATTTGCGCCGGCTCACTAAGAGAGATTGCCTTTAGAGGGTCTAAATATACATGGGTCAGAGGCAATATTAGGGAACGACTGGATCGGGCTTTGATTAATGATGGCTGGGATCAACTTTTCCCCAATGCTCAGCTATTCCATTGTGCCAGGATCGGCTCTGACCATTGCCCTTTGGTCCTCTGCTTAAAGGCCATCCCTACCATTATAAAGAAGCAATTCCGATATGAACTGAAGTGGCAACTTCAAAATGGCTATGATGGAGCGGTGATTCAAGGATGGTTGACCAACCGGGTTGGATCCCCTCTTTTTAAAATGGTAGCCAAAATTTCCCAATGTAGACAATCACTAAAGGAATGGAGTAAATCTTCAGGGAGTTCACATCAACAACTAGCGCAATTACAACAAGAACTGGAAGCTCTTCAATAGGAGGAACTCACTGAACCAAACATATCAAGACAGCAACTCTTAATTGACAGAATTCACACTCACTGGATTCAAGAAGAAGCATACTGGTTTCAAAGAGCGCGCACAAACTGGCTTACTTTTGGTGATAGAAACTCCAAATTTTTCCATGCAATTGCATCAAGAAGGAGGCAGAACAATTTTATCTTTCAGCTAAAGCATGAAAATGGGCAATGGTTGAAGACACAGAATCAATCCTCACCCATGCTCACTCTCAATTCCAACAAGCCTATGCTTCGTCAAACTCTTGTAACTTTGAGCAGATTACGAGGCTTATCCAACCATCAGTTATTGCAGAAATGAATCATGAGCTATGTTGTTCTGTCTCAGATGATGAAATTCGCTCCATTGTGTTCCAACTAGGAGCGTTTAAGGCTCCAGGAGTGGATGGATTCTCAGGATGCTTCTACCAACAACACTGGGATATGGTTGGCCCTGATGTATGCAAGGCAGTTCGACACTTCTTTGATCACAGCTTCATGCCACGAGAGATGAACAAGACTAGAATTGTTCTTGTCCCCAAAATTCAGAATCCTGAGGTAATCTCACAGTTTCGGCCTATCTCCTTGTGTAATTTCTCTTATAAAATTATCGCTAAAATCCTGGCTAATCGCTTGAAAGGTTATCTTGATAGACTTATAACTCCGTTTTAGTTTGCTTTTATACCTGGTCGGGCCATCCAGGACAATATCTTGATTGCACACGAAGCCTTTCACAGGCTGCAACTTAAGAAATCTGGTAAGCATAATGTGTTGGCTTTGAAATTAGATATTCGCAAAGCTTATGATAGTGTTGATTGGCACTGTTTGGAAAGTATATTGAAAGCTCATGGCTTCTGCGAGAAATGGACCCAGATGGTGATGCAATGTGTCTCCACAGTATCTTACACAATAGGAATTAATGGCAATCAAACCCCTTTCTTTGCTCCCCAACGAGGACTCCGACGAGGAGACCCGCTATCCCCATATCTTTATCTCTTTATCGCTGACATTTTATCCCGTCTCTTATTAACAGCGACAGCGGAGAAGAAGATTTCAGGCTACAAGATTCGAAGAAGAAGCCCAACAATTAGCCACCTCCTTTTTGCAGATGATTCCTTGGTTTTTTGCCGAGCTACAGCCCAGGAGGTGAGTCACCTACAAACTATCTTACAACTCCATGGGGATACAACTGGCCAAAAAGTTAATTTCTCCAAATCTGCTGCAATTTTTAGCCTTAATACCCCGATGGAAGTCCGGAATTCTATTTGTAGTCAGCTTGGAATCCATCATGAATCTGCAGTGTCCAAATACCTTGGTCTACCAACTTCTTGGGGTAGGTCAAAAAAAGATAGCCTGAAATATGTTACTGACAAAGTTCACACTAAACTCGCCCATTGGAAAAAAAACTTGTTATCTCAAGCGGGTCGAGAAGTCCTAATTAAAGCAGTAGCTATGGCCATTCCCACCTTCAGAATGTCCTGTTTTTTGCTTCCCATTGGTGTTTGCCGGAATCTCAACCAACTTATTCGTGACTTCTGGTGGGGCAGCAACAGGATGAGAAGAAAGTTTGTTGGGTGGGATGGGACCGACTGACTCAAAGCAAACATGATGGCGGTATGGGATTTAAGGACCTCCATTGTTTTAATATAGCTATGTTAGCCCGGCAGGCTTGGAGGATATTACAAAATCCTAATGCCCTATGGGTTCGAGTACTAAAAAGTTTATACTTTCCAAACTCCTCCTTTTTTGATGCAAGGAAAGGAAGTCACCCATCGTGGGCGTGGTCAAGTATTCTGCATGGAAGGAACCTTGTTCAACTCGGAGCAAGATGGAATGTTGGCAATGGACAAGACATTTTGATCTACCATGACAAATGGGTTCCCACCTTACCTGGATTCAAGGTAACTTCTCTCCCGACAAATAACTCTGTCTTTTCGTATGTATGTGATTTGTTTGATGATCATGGGGACTGGGCTGCCCCTAAACTCAATCAACTCTTTAGTAGTGAGGAATGTTGGGAAATCCTTAAAATTCCAACTGGCTCTTGTTGTGACTCTTTTATCTGGCACTATGATAGATATGGAAGATTCTCAGTTAAAAGTGCTTACCTCCTTGCAATTCATACTAGCCAAGAAACTCATCCGAATCATGTCAATCCAACCTTTTCTTCAGCTGAATGGAAGCATTTATGGAAACTGAAAGTACCTCCGAAGATCCGGGTTTTCTTATAGAGGGTCATTCTCAACTCTTTGCCTTCAATGGACAATCTGGTAAAAAGGGGGATTGTTCAAGAGGCGTTATGCCCCTTTTGCCATTTAACTGATGAAACTATTATGCATTTGCTCTTCTATTGCCCTCATGTCGAACCAATTTGGTTTGGTTCAGCCTTGGGTCTTGACCCGCGACAACTGGGGGTGGATTGCTTTGTGGGTTGGTGGAGGTTTATTAAGAATGTCTCGAAGCAGATGCACCTTTCTTCTCTGATTGATTATTGTGCTGTTGTTTGCTGGCATATTTGGAAAGCACGAAATGAGAGATATTTTGGCCATATTGATGTTTCTCCTCTTCA